GCTGTAATCACTCCATCGTAAGTTTTAGGAAGGGTCAGCAATAAATGAGATATCTTGTCAGTCTCATCTAATTTGGCACCTGCGGCCAATAAGTCGGTAATTAGTTCATCAAAAATAGTAAAATGATTTAGTAATAGTGTATCTGCTTGTAATTTCAATCCCAATAATTTCTTTCGCAATGCCAACTGCGTAGCCAGACTTTTACGTTCATAGATACGGTCTAAACTACAGAAAATGTCTTTTGCAGTATTGTCACTTTTTGCAAAACTAAGAAAAGAATCTGTCAAATACTCCACGATAATATTTTTGGCGGTACGCTCTGCTGTTATCCATTCGTCAGTCACTTTCTCTGGGATATCTTCATCAATCACCTTTATGACATTAAGTTCTGTTAACAAACCACGTAATCTAAACTTCCATATACTATATTTTTCCCCATTAAAAGGCTTAATGTTTCTTTTTAGTTTAAAATTTTCCATTGTCACTATCAAAGCTCTCACTTTTGTCTATCACTTCACAAACTTCACAAATAACAATAGTTTATTAACTCAAAAATTCCTTTTCGCGATAATTTAAAATTACACGTATCCTGGGCCCATAACCTGTTAGGTATATGGACAGTGAAATAAAAGATATTATAATTTAACTTTTAAATATTTAATTGTCTTCAGTCTAAGACAACTCGGAAAGCAAGCGTAGAGGAGACTAAAAACTAAAAGTGATACAAAATATTATTAGAGCACACACGCCCTATTTCATTCTAACATAAACATATGCAAGCACGTAACATTAACTGTGCTGATATTATAAACAGTAAATCTACGAGGTAAAGATAAAGAAGTTTTATTTAATAATATTTGGTTTAACTAATATATGTTTATATCAGCTTATTCAACACTTAATGCATAAATAGCGATTGGTACCAACTTACATTTATTTTGTCATTTTATTACATTTGATTCAAAAAACAGCCAATTTTCTAACTTATTTTATAATTATTATTTATTTTAATACAAAAGGCACTATACACATTATATGTATTACATATATATTGTAACATAGGAACGTCAATTAAAAAACCTAAAAAATAGGATTTCAACGCGACAACATTGCGAGTTGTTGATAGTTGGTTCCTAGTAGGAACTTCCTACCACATACCACCAAAAGAAATGGACGGCGCATTGCCATTCAATAACAATTGCGATCAACGAACGGTCACAGTCTAAGCGTTAAATAGGCTATAGAATTTTATGTTTTCTTCCAGTGACGTATTGCGTACTCCAAAACAGCTGACATATAACAAATATGTCAGCTGACTGCAACGACTGCCGTGGTGTTAAATAGGGATAATTTAAAAATAGTTTAATTTAATTGTGATTACGATACGTTTTTTAAATTAAATTATTTATGTTACATGCCGTGGTTTTAAATAGGGATAATTTAATTTAATTAAGTTTTTATTGAAATAAGCAAAGTTTAGGTTTAGTGAAACAAATTGGTTTATGAACAAATATTGGGTTTAAAAAAATAATAAGTAGGTAGGTTCTTACAAACGATATTTCCATGTATTGTTTTTTTTTAGAAAAAAATAATGTATTTAAACTCAATAATTAACTTAAACACGATATAAATACACAAACAAAAACACAAAACAACAAGCTGTCAACCTTTTTCTATGCTGTCAACCACAATCCACTGAACGCAAATATGACGAATTTACCAACATTGTTAATATTTAATTAAATTTGATTAAATGATTTACTTTCTTTAAATAGAGAAAAATATCTAAAGAAAATGATGAACAAATCCTTTTTACAATTTTTTTATTATTCAAACGAATTACTGGTAATTTTTAATGTTCATTATGTTATGATGACGTCCAAAAATGCGTGTAATCTATACTTCTGACAACGTTGGAAGCCGTGTTTCTTTCGACGGTGTTTAGAATGTGAAACTATGCTTTACTCGCTTTTTAAATGTAAACAAATCCGTCCATTTGTTTTGGTGGTCTGTGGTTCCTACAATAACGCTTTTCGCTTTTGACAGTGGCAGTGACAGTTTTTTATGCAATGTTATTTAAAATCTAAAAATAAGTTGTGAAAACGAATAAAGTCCACTACAAAAAAAAGTTATGGGAACAAAAAATAAAGCAACAGAAAATAAGTATGTTGAATTCAGTCTAAAGAGAAGAGAAGAAAACCATAGAAGGTAGAAGGATTGTCTTATTATTAAAAAAAATAAGTAATTGGGTGTTTTTAAAATAATTTACTTTAAAACAGAAATTATATACTCGCCATCATTCAGGAAACTAGATAAAAATTAAATCATCAAAAAACCCTATGAATAGGCATACTTACTAGAGATTTCAAGAAATTTACATAATAACCAAATCCTACTAACCCAACCCAACCATCATTTGGGGACCTATTTAGATAGAAATGTATTATCAAAAATTAGTGAGAAATAGTGTGTTGATTTTTTCTAGAAATATTAACGTCTTATGATCTCTGAAAAACAAGCCCCTCCGATTAAAAAAAAATAATGTTATTAATATATTTTACGGAAATGTCAAAAACAAATATTGGAATCCCAAAAACACAACTAAGAATGTTAAAAACAGATTTTAGGACGCCAAACATTATTAAAAATGGTAACATTTATTTAAGAATTTTAAACACAATTTATAAAATTTGAAAAACCATACTCATTGAGTATTACTCAAAGTCAAAGCATATTTAAGAATTCAAAAAAATAAGAGTGCCAAGAACATACCTTAAAAGGTCAAAGCATATTTAAAAATGACAAAATCACAATTAAAACACATTTAAGAAAGTCAAAAACACAATTACGATTGTTACATACACATTTTAGTTTAAAAACACATTTTAGAACCAACAAATATTAACAACTAAGAATGTGTAAAACATATTTTGCCACTTACTAAAGAAAGTCAACGCATATTATTTAAGAACACAAAAACATATTTTTACAAACATATTCTTAAAAGTCAAAGCATATTTAAAGATGTCAAAACCAAATTTTAGAATTTCAAAAACATACTTTAGAAGGCCAAAACCACAACTAAGAATGTTAAAAACACAATTTTAGGACGCCAAGAATTATTAAAAATGTTACATTTATTTAAGAGTTTCAAAACCAATTTATAAAACATGAAAAATCGCACTCAGAGTCGAAGCATATTTAAGAATGGAAGTGCCTACTGCACTGTCCAGACAGAACCGCAAAAAAATGGGTGCACTGTCCAGACAGAGCTGTAAAAAAAATTGGTGCACTGTTGGATTAAAACCTGTTTATAAGTTTTGCGTGCATATCCCTGTAACCAGTTCGATAACTACAGATATCTGAAAATTGTGGTTCAAATCTCACATTGGCAGATTGCTTTTTTACTTTTTTTTGTTTTAAACATTTTTTTGTATTTCCGTACAGACCTATGCACGCAAAACTTATATACCTATATTTTTTGTCAATAAAAAGTTCACCAAGAGAATAATCATCTTTAATAGGGTGGTTAGGCTTCAGTAGGGTGTTGGGTGCAGAAATTTTAAAAACAGGTGTCGACATTGCATCAATTTTTATCAAAGCTATGTCTGAACAGGTGCAGTAGACGTTAGGAATACAAAAAAAAATAGAATGCCAAAAACAAATTTTAAAAAACATACTCAGGGCTTCCATACCTCCTAAAACTCATAAAATTCCTAAAATTTGGCTTAAATCATAAAAACTCCTAAAATTGCCATCAATTCCCTAAAACTCCTAAAAATTTAATATAAATTAAGGTAGTTGTGCTAATTTTTTTTTTAATGTAATTTAAAAATATAAATTTTATTAAATTCTTTTTAAAATGATAAATCACAACCTACATTTTTCTTAAAAAACAACAAAATATACCTAAAAACAAAATCCATGTAGGTCATAGACTTCTACAAAATTGTCATTTTTAGCCATATTTTGTTTGTTTTCGACAAAAATATACCGTGTTATAATCAAACAAAAGGATTTTTAATTTTCTTTTAAATATATATAGTAAACAATCTAAAGAATTTTTTACTGTATATTATGCAAACTTTATTTTTTTTTCTATTATAAGATTTTTAAGTAACAAGATCCACATTACAATTGAAGGGGTTAGAATAAAAAGGGTATAAGTAACATTTTCATTTTTTGGAGATATTTGAAGTTAAAGTTATGTTACCATAAAAAAGTGAAGAATTTTGTTTAGTAATGTTTTTCTACTGGATAATAGAGGTCCCTAGAAGTATGAAAATTACTTAAATCCTTTTCATTTCGATACGTCGGAACCTTATCTTTCACAAAACGAACTTATCTCCTAAATTAAAGAAATTGCACTTATACCCTTTCTATTCTAACCCCTTCAATTATTGTTTGTTATAAACTAAACAATTAACATTTTTTCCTCAAAATATAAATATAACATCATTTGACTTTGGCCTAGTTTTTTAGCCACATCTATCGACGCGTTTTTTTAAATAAAATTAAAAGTGTGGTGAAATTTCTACTTGTGTATATACCTCAGATATAATACAAAAGTATTAATTAATTTTATTTAAAAAAAAACTCGTCGAGCGATTTCAACCTATTCTTAAAAAGAAGTGATATTTATTTATATTTATGTAAAAAATAATTATTTATTTTTTTGTTATTTTTTATGTACAGTGTAGAGTTGTTTTTATTTAATTACATAAATTCATTTGAATACTTTATTTCTCCTAAAATTCTCTAAAAAACCTCCTAAATTCCTAAATAAAATTTTGTAATTTAGCCATGGGAGCCCTGCATACTTTAAAAGGCCAAAGAAAATTTAGAATGTAAAAACATAATTAAAAAACACAAAAAATTATAAATGGTAAAAACACTTTAGAATTGTAAATTCATATATTGGAATGTAAATGTTTCAATAATAAAATTTGAACTTATTAAATCGCCAAATTTCCTAAAAACAAATTATTTATCTTCTTCAGTCAAGGAAAAACTGACCGACGACGGTGACTGCGAGATCGCAACTACCAGCCTCAAGGTGTCGCTGATGTGTCCGCTAGGAAAAATGCGCATGACGACTCCGTGCCGCGCCATCACGTGCACGCACCTCCAATGTTTCGATGCGTCGTTGTTCTTGCAGATGAATGAGCGCAAGCCCACGTGGAGCTGCCCCGTTTGCGACAAGCCCGCCCTCTACGACAACCTCGTCATCGATGGGTAAGATTTTCTTGTTTAAGAATGCCGAAAGCATGTTTTTATGTACTTTGTTTAGGTATTTCATGGAAGTTTTGCAATCCGGACTGCTTCCCAACGATGTAAACGAAATTCAGTTGCTCAAAGACGGTTCTTGGAGCGTTCAGGCTGCAGAAAAGAAGCCGCAAATTCAAGCTGTTAAAACTCAGAGCATCGACGATTCCATTGAAATAATTGAAGATGGAATTGGTATGTCAAACAAAAAAAAATAGTTAAAAAAATTTTTTGAAAAACTTTAAAATTCTCACCAATATCGTTGATTGAAGATAATAACTAGGGATGGGATTTTAGTTATTTTACCTTTTTTCAATCGATGTAACTATTTGAAAACCAATAATGCCAAAATGTGTTTTAAAAGATGTTCTTTTATATTAACCTAACTTGTTTTCACCTTTTTTACCTTTTTTGCTTTAAACTACCTTTTTATACTTTTCTTACCTATTTTTTTATCTAGTTTTCACCTTTTTTACCTTTTTTGGAGGTTTTTGCTTTAAACTACCTTTTTATACTTTTGTTACATATTTTTTAATTTGTCAGTTTATTTTCACATATTTGTTATCTATTTTTTCGTATTTTTACTTATTTTTTTTTTGTTCTTTTTAAATTTTCCGCCAATATTTTATCCAGGGCGTGCAACTCAACGGTATAGAATTTTTTCTTATGGTCACAGCATAGAAATTATTCTATTATTTTAAATTATTTCTATGGGTCACAGACTGTAACAGTAACTTTCTTTACAGTATTTCTTTGTATTGAGCTTATGTTCTGTCATAGAATTTCTGTGTAGTGAGTGTCACTCAGTGAAACACAGTTTATTGCATAGAAATAGTTTATTGTGGGTATGTTCTGTGTTTGGGTATGCGGCTAAACAAAATTATAAAATAAACTTGAACTTTTAATGTTTTTTTTACCTAAAATGCTGTTTTTTTAACCTAAAATGCTTTTTTTAGTACCTTTTTAGTTACCTATTTTTCAGTTTTTAGTACCTAAATATCCCATCCCTAATAATAACACATCAATTAGTAACGGTGCCTTTTTCCGTTTTTTTTTTTAGAAATTGTTTCGGCCTCAAGTTCCACCCTGGAAAAGCTAAAAAAAGAAGAGCCCGTGGAGAAAAAGGAACCGACTGAACTACCGAAAAAAGACGTTGTAGATCTCACACTGTCAGATTCTGATGATGACGAACCGCTGGCGAAACGTCGCGCTGTGAATCCGAAGCCGGATTCGACTATCAAGTTTTCCGGTAAGTGAGCGAAAAATAACAAGATTTTGTTGGGGTACTGATTATTTTTTAATATTTAATTAGGTTCTTTTATAAAAGTTTAGGTTAATTAATTAAAATGATGACTTGAATCAAGCATTTTATATTGCCAATTGAATAAAAAACACCAAAAAGTATTCTATCATTAAGTAATTAGGTTTTTGGTGATTTGTTTCTCTTGAGATTTGTTATTTTTAATGAGCGCCTTTATGGCGATTGTAACAATAATTATAAAAAATCATTTAAATTTGTGATATTTTGTGAAATATTGCCTTGACTTGTAGGCTTAGGTTTCGTATTTTCATGTAGTAGTACTTATTTCTAAATTAAATTATACTATTTTAAACACTGTCAAAGGCTCTTTCATTTACGATACCCCCAAAAATCCCCCAAAAATCTCAAGAACAAAAAAACTTTTTATCTTTTAAGTAAGTAGGCGATTTTTTATCGGGTTAAAGGACAAATTAGAAACTTTTTTGTTACAGACACAAACAGCATTTCGTCTAGCAGCAACCAAAGCAGGGTGACCACCACACCAGGCCCCTCTTCCGTATCCAGTTCCGGATATCCGGTCAGCCCCAACGTCATCAATCTTGACAGCCCCTCTCCCCCAAGGTAAGAATATTCCCAGGTTGGAAACGCCAAAATAATATTAAAATGATTTTTAAGGAAAAAAATATATATATATACTGGAAAAACATTATTTTGGCAAAAAAAGCATATTTAATAATAAACCTAATTTTGACCAAAAAAAGATAATTTTGACAAAAAAACACATTTATTTTAAAATTTTATCGATTATTTTTTAATATCAAAATGTTTTTATAGCAATAAATATAATATATATTAGACTGGGCCAAAAAAATCGACTATTTTTTTTTGTAAAGTATATCGAAAATATTGTTTGGGGTGACAAAAAAAAATTATGGTGAAAGTTTGAGTCCATAATATTAATATTAAGAGGTCTCTCATCGCAATTTTAGTTTTTTTTTCCTGAGCGAGTTTTTGTCTCAGAACTCCCAAACCATTGAGTTTAACAAATTTGACTTAAGATTATTTTTTTTAAAGAAAATTAAATGCTCTATAAAAAAGGTTTAATTGGAATTTCCTGTCAGATGAACCGTTTTCTTACAATCATGCCTTAAAAATTTATATAGTTTTACAATTTGATCTTTTAACTTTGGAATTTTGTAATTCATGTAAAAATCAGTAACGGGAAAAAAACCGATAAATATTCTTATGGGAAATCAAAAAAAGTCTTTTATCATTTTTGGCTAAATTCACTCCATCAAAAGTTATTCAAGATTAAATTTGGTCAAAACGAAATTTTAACCTTGAATAACTTTTGATTGAGTGAATTTAGCCAAAAATGTTGAGAGGCTTTTTTTGTAAAGCATTTGATTTCCCATAAGAATATTTATCGGTTTTTTTATGGATACTCATTTTTACATGAATTACAAAATTCCAATTTAAAAGATCAAAATGTAAAACTACACCAATATTTAAGGCATGATTTTAAGGAAATGGTTCATCTGACGGAAAATTTCACTTTAACTTTTTTTGTAGAGAATTTAATTTTCTTAAAAAAATATTTTCGAGTCAATTTTGTTAAACTCAATGGTTTGGGAGTTCTGAGACAAAAACTTGCTGAGGAAAAAAAAACTAAAATTATTATGGACTTTCACAATATTTTTTTTTGTCACCCCAAACCATATTTTCAATATACTTTTAAAAAAAATAGTTGATTTTTTTGGCCCAGTCTAATATATAATATAATAAATATAATGATAAAAATATAATTTTGACTAAAAAAGCAAAAAACATAATTGTGAGAAAAAATAATAATTTGACAAAAAAACATACTTATTTTGAAATTCGACATAAACGAGTACCTAGATATTAATATCAATTTGATTTCATTTGATTTGATTTTGACAAAATGACTTAAAACCAAAAAATATATAATTTTGACTAAAAAAACATTATTTTTACAAAAAAAACGTGATTTTGACAAAAAGCATACCAATTTAAAAAAAATCGTACTTTTGACAAAAAAAACAAACTTTGAAAATTTAAATTTTTAAATTCTATATGACGATTATTTAATAATTTCAAAATGATGACGATTACTTAATATCAAAATGACTAAGGAAAAAAAATTAATTAGACTAAAAAACACAATTTTGACAAAAAACATAATTTTGACAAATCAAGACAAAACTTTGACAAAAACATAATTTTGACAAACACCTTTTAGGTCTCCCTCAGCACAAGGCACGTCGGCGGAGAGCGCCCCTCCTCCAGAGGCGCCCGCGGCGAGCGCTCCCGCCTCCTGCATGATGGCGACCACCAACGGCAACGCCGCTAAGCCGCTGTTGCCGTTGTATCCGGGCGATGCGCCCACCTACTTGGATCTCGAAAACAGTGAGCTGTCAAATAGCACGCCCATAGGCAGTGACGGACAATTTTTTTAATTTAATTTACGAGATAATCTCCTATGCAGTATTTTTTGTGTAAATACTGATATTAGTATAATAATTATTATTATCAATAGTTAAGTGCGGGTTAATTTAAAAGTGTAATAGACACGACTGGATTATTTTAATTGCTAAGTGTATTTATTATTTTTCTAGTGTTACGTCATTCCAAGATACTATCGGACAAAAATATTTTTTTATTTAGAGTTTCGTTAAATTGACAAAAAAAATAGCAGTTGCAATATATTTTTTAGGGTAGTTAGTGGGTGCTGGCGGAACACACCCAAGGAGTTTATTATCTCGGTAAATATATTATATATAAATATATAATTGCTACGTTAAAAAGTTTATTACAAAAGTTATTTATGAACATATTTCCTACAACTTTAGTTTTCGTAATTTGAATATTTAAAAAGTTCCACATTTCCAAACAAAAAAATTGTAGAGCTACAAGCTAAATAGCTTTTTTGACCTCTTATAGTTTGGTTGTAAAATCTAAAAAAAAAACCTGTCAGAAGGAACATTCCGGTGGCACCCACTACCCGGACTTAAAATTACATAGAGGCAATTTAAAAACATTTCGTTACCATTTTGTATTCTTTTCGGATTTTGGTACAAATGTAAATAACTAAATTATAGTTATTTTTACGAAAGAGCTGTATATTAGCCAAGTATTTAGGTAGTATATTTTGTACATGACTTATGGCTTAGTTTAAAGCCTTATTTATACATTGCCTTCCTTCCTTCCTCCCGTAAAAGATAAAAAATTCGAAAATCGTAGTAGATTCCCGTAAGGGAATCTATAAACAGCACAACGGTTCATCTTTTACGGGAGGAAGGAAGGAAGGAAGGCAATCTATAAACGGGCTTAATTGTTTGATTTATATAGTTTAGTTCATTTCTATGTTATTTATCTGAGGGTGAGCAGCATTTTAAAACCTATGATATATGATGTATATTTTATTAATAAACCTAATTACCTTCAATCTACTTTTTTTTATTTAATGTGGTACAACTTTTATTGGTGTCGCCGCAGTTCAGAGCCTGCATTAGTTGAGCTCCGTCTCCAGAAAAAATGTCCCATTTGCATTTGAGGGATTCATGGAGGGAGTCAAATTCATTATCGAGAAAATTCTGGAATTTGGAGCAGTGTTGAATTAATTGGCCCTCTAGGTCGTCCATTTGTAATTTCAAACTTTTCATTAAATCTCTTTTAATTTGCTCGAAAATTTCATTTTTCTGCACTGTGGGTGGTGGTATCTTAGGTATCGCTAGCAACTCTGCTTCCCTAAAAATTACATCTACAAAAAACCCATTTGAATACAAAAATTACTTCTCTGAACCCATAGATATGGAAGACTTTCTGAAGTTCAAAACCTCATGGTTTCCTACAAAACCGTGTTCAAACTTGATCTTATTCACAGCCGTATTGTGAACCTACGAAAAAAACGGTATACCACAAGGTTCCACATTGCGACCTACATACTTTTCGCCTATAAATCGGCTGCAGATAATTTCTCATGTCGTACAAATACACACTGCCATCTTCAGTGCCAATCGCGATCAGTTTATCATCTGGACTCAAGTCCATGGTTGTGACTGGTTGGTGTAAATTCATACGAAAAACGCAGTCACCCATCAAGTTGTCTATAAGGCATATTTTGTAGTCTAAACCACCGCTTAGGAGTTGTTTGCCACAACTTGTCATAGCAACACCTAAAATAATCACTTTAGAAGGTAAACTCTTAGGTTCCAGAAGCATTTCCACCTGTTACTTTATTAGAATGTTTCTGATAGTGCCTCAGCTTGACACTGGTATAGATATCCCAAAACACAACATTACCATTTAGGCAACCAACTGCACACTGGTTGGGCATTATAGGGTGAAATTTCATTGTAGTACATAGGGATTTATGAAACAACTGGCTTAAATCCTGATTGTAATTCTCAGTATTATACAAAATCAACTTTTGATCGTTCAGTATTGCCAATTGTTGATCGTCTACGCTATACTCAAGGCTGTTTATTGGTGTTTTTAGGTTGGGTATTTTTGTTTCGACGTCCCTTTTTTTTGTATTGTATATACAGACGTCGCCGTGCGAATTTCCAAATGCAATGATTTTTTTTGTGTGGTTTTTAAAGGCTAAGTTTGTAACATTATCAAGAACTAAAAAACTTGAGTTAATCTAGTGGTATAGCGACCATTTGTACACGTCACTGTTATTTTGACAAAACTCTTTTTAACAAATGTGTAGCCAACTTAAGATAATTAAAATATGAAATGTTTAGGTTTAAGAATATAGGATTTTTACCTTGCACTGTATGAACATGGTGCATATTAGTTTTATCCCTCGAAGACAAAATTATTGGTTTTTCATTTTCCTGGACTACAGCAATGTAAGTATTATCGTGACTCCAAGAAAAATTCACATATTTCCCCTTGTTTTCTTCGGTAAAAATAAAATAATTTTCTAAATCGTTATTGCACCATTTGTGATAACTTAAACTTTCGCTAGCGGACGCAAACATTTTGAATAATTTAACAACAAAAAACGTTAAGTGACGTTTGACGTTTGATTAAATACATATGGAATTAAAATTTAACCGTACTGCTTGTATCGCATGTACCAGTGGATTATTATTCTTTTTTGGATGGTGGTTATTTATTGATGTAACAGTACAATATGGGAAAGTCATGAAAGAGAACGGGGTGTACTTTTTACCAGGTACCTACATATATATCTTTATTAACTTTTTTCTACATTCTACATTTTTACAACTCATATTTAACTCTGGCCTTTAATCTCCAGACCTTAGTGTTCGTAATAAAAACATCTTTTAGTGATTATTTGAAAATGGGTGCCAAAATTTGCATAAAAAAGTCGATAAAATAAAGCTAAGAACCTATTTTAGGGATTTTGGGCACGATATCTGGAATTCTAATGAATTTAATACCTCTTGATGCTCTGACAGGGTCAATTTTATATGGAACAACAAGATGTGGGATAAAATCTTCCACAGCAGCGAGATTATTGTTATTATTTTGCCTCATGATTTTATTTGGTTCCATAATTGCCGCAATTTATATTCTTATAAGCGATTTTGGTTTAAACCAAAGCAGACCACAATATCCGGGATACGGTATTTTTATACAAAATATCTCTATATTTAGTGCTGCTATGATTATCAGATTTACAAAAAGAGAAGATAATTTGATTTAATGTTTAAAACAAGAAGAAAATGTGTAAAAAATATATTTGTGAAATAAAATCAGCCCGTTTTTTATTGAATTAAAATAGTACATTATAATATATATATGTATCAAGTTTGATAAACGCCAGTTTAGTCATTAGCTTAATTAAATGAGCGCCTAAAAAGATTATAAATTAATTGCATACTATACTTTTTCTACGACAAATACTACTTAAAATTATCTGAAAAATTATTTAAATTAAATATTTGTATAAAGCGAAATCTATACGAAAATAAAGTAACAATAAACATTTTTAACGTAATTGTCACCATTCCAATAGCCCGTTATTAATTTTAATTAAATTTAACAATTATTGATACTTTAAAATATTAAAATAACTTTTTTTGTCACTATAATTGCAAAATATTATCACAAAGTATTTAAACATTCTTACATGCATGGGAAATGTTAAATGTACAAAAAGTGAGTTGTATTTATTGTAAATCTACCGGCAATAAAAGTGAAGAAAATGGTTTAATGCGCTACTACGGCAAAAACAAAAGTACAAACGTTCATAAATCTTTGGAAATTCTGAATAGCTGATTTTTTGACTTTGACGATATTTTGCACATTTCAAGTTAGACGTAAGTAAAAGAATCCACTATTGAGCCATTCCACGCGTAACGGATAGGACAGTTGCCGTGTTTTTATTTACAAAATAATATTGTTCTATTATATAATATAATATATATTACCAATGTCAAATTTTTATAAATAGTTCTAAACTAAAGCTGTTTAACAAGGTTTTTATTTGGCAAAATTAGGTATCGTGGTTGACTGTTTAATTCCTTAAAAACTAATAAATTAAAGCGTAACGGACGGGACTTTGTAATAGTCCCGTCCGTTACGCTTTAAATTATTAATTTTTAAGGAATTAAACGGGAATAACTTGAAATTTCGGAAAAATACATCTCTTCGTTTAACACCCTGTAGTATAATGCTATATGCAATATATCGTATTCCCAAAATTAGACATAAAAGTCAAAAAATTAGCCATTCAGAATTTCAAAATCGATTTAGTAATTTACCAAAAACGAGCTTTCAAATATTTTCCAAAAAACTAGGTGCGTCGATTTTTATGACGATCAGTTTATCTAAAAGCTGACTTCAGCCTGTGACTAAAAACCTGCTGCTAACTTTAGCCCGTGACTAAAACGCTATAAAGCAACTACTTGTGAATGTGTATTTAAAAGGTCACTTAGTGTCATGGAAACATGTACAATAATAGGCGTTTTTAAGGTGGGAGTAGAAAAATATATTTATCTACTCCTACATTGACGAGCTATGAGTTTATGGCGTTTTAGTCACGGGCTGAAGTTAACAACAGTGGCTTTTGGGCACTTTAGTCACGGGCCGAAGTTAGCTTTATTATAAATTGCGAAAAAGTGAGGTTAAATTCGTCAGATGTCAAATATTTATGAATTAAAATTGGCTTTAAATTCTTATTTCTTTAAAGAAATAAGAATTTAAACGAAATTTCGTTGTAGATAAAGTATAGTATGCAACTCGTTTTATAAACTTCTCTAGACACTCGTTTTTATTAAACACTCGCTCGCAAGCTTCGCTCGTGCCTAATAAAACTCGTAACTAAAATGGTTTTCATAAAACTTACATAATATATTATCTACTCCTACATTGACGAGCTGTGACTTTATGGCGTTTTAGTCACGGGCTGAAGTTAGCTTTATTATAAATTGCGAAAAAGTGAGGTTAAATGTCAAACATTTATGAATTAAAATTGGCTTTAAATTTTTATTTCTATTCGTCGTAGATAAAATATACTATGCCACTCGTTTTATAAACTTTTCTAGATACTCGTTTTTATTAAACACTCGCTCATGCCTAATAAAATTCGTAACTAAAATTGCGTTTATAAAACTTATACACAATATATTACTCCCTTATTAATAAGCTGTGACTGGCGTTTTAGTAACGGGCTGAAGTTAGCCTTGTTATAAAATGAAAAAAAAAGTGAGGTTAAATCTGTTGACAGTAAACTAATGTCAAATTTTTAACAAATAAAATTGGCTTTAAATTCTTCATTGTGCTCGTGTATAAAGTATATTTACTATAGGTATATAGGTACCCTATAGTATGCAACTCGTTTTATGAACTTCTCCATACATTCGTTTTTATTAAACACTCGCTCAAAAGCTTCGCTTGTGCCTACTAAAACTCGTAACTAAAATGGCGTTTATAATACTTTAAAAAAAGGTTAAATATATTTAATAAAGAACTAAACGGCTGCAGTTTTATATGACACTAAAATTATTTCTCCGGCAAAAAAACTGTAGATGGCGCTCGTGTTACGAAGCATAAAAGTGCCTTTGGCTGGCCGTAAAGTTTGAGCGAATCGTTTTCTTCTATTTTTATTGTTATTTCGTGGACTAATGTCGATTAAAATTTCGAAATTTACGGCCGTTTTTATTGCCCAGCATATGGAAACGCGGTGCTTAAATTTGTTATTGTCCAAGAAATATAAAAATTTATGTGTTAGGTGTTAAAGTATTGTTTTATTTACTCTGCGTGATATGCCGTTTTTAATTTTGTTTTGTTGCAAAATGTTATACTAACAGACACTGAATCATCTTTTGCATAAAAGAGATGGCATAGATAAAAATTTAACAGGCTTTTATTTAAACCGCGGTTTTAATTAATTAATTCTTAAAAAGTAGCCTGATACAATCATGGTTGCTGTGCACCGCGTGGAGTGTTTTATTCTGCACCGCGAGGATTGTCTTGAATATAAATTCACAGAACGTAATAGATTGGTATAGAGATTTACCAGGATCGATGCCCAGCTCTCGCCAACTTTTTTTTATTTATATTATATTTTTGTGTTGGGGTGGGTTGTTTGGTTGCTTTGTTCTGATTTTATTATTTTATTTAGTTTTACATATATTTACTTACATTTATTGGCGAATGTGCACATTATTTATATATTTCCCTTCTTTAACAATCCCGCGGTGTTGAATATTCAATTCTATATAGAACACCGCGCGGGGCACTATAGTTTTAAAAAGTTGAAAGTTGAAAATTTTGGAATTCTGGAACGTTGATAAGGAAAATACATGGACTCTTAACCATTAACAACAATAAAAAAATGGAATGCCCAATTAGCGAAAGAATCCATTTCAAAATCACAATTTTCCCATCGAGATGCCGTGAAGCCGCCACCTTATTTAGAAAACCTGTCAACGTGTCAATTTGAACTTTCGTTTGATACACGTAAACTGAGTAGAAAATTAATAATTACAAATATGATTTATACATTTGTCACCTATCATCTGTCAACGATACCTGTCTGTTAACTTCAGGCCCGTTCCTGGCGAGCGTGCAGTGCGTGCACGCACGCAGGCGCAACATTTCAGGGGGCGCAAGAGTCAATCAGTACTTTGTAACGATAAACTTTCTTGCATATGATACTTAAACATACATTGGATAAAGGTTTCTGCCTTTTTTGCGTCGGCCGCTCTTTTTTTGATATAAGGATCAAAATAAAAGGAGAGAAATGGTCATATTATTTAGTATTTGTCTGATAGTTGCAGTTGACGGTAGCAAAGTTTAACAGTAGTAACTCTCTAAAATAGAATTAGTCAAAAATGACTAATTCAATTAGTCTAATTGCAATAGCGAAAAAGTAGCGACTAATAATTATTGTCAATAGCAATTTGTATCCCGGATATTTAGCAGTCAACTCCCATGTAAAATTGTCCGCTGAATCCGAAAATGTCGCCAAAAGTTATAAAAGTAGAACGTTTTTGAGATTTAGTAAATTTTGCATATGATATGACATTAACTCTATCTTAAAAACTGCTTTACTTTTATAATTTTTGACGGTATTTTCGGATTCAGGGGACAATTTTACATAATAATAAGCTGTTAAATGCCCGGGATACAAATTGCTGTGGACTAAAGTTATTAGTGACTGCTTTTTTACTTTGAAAACTAGTCATTTTTAGAGAGTACGTCACTAAAAACCACTTGTCGTAGTTATTATATTGTTTAGATTGTTTTTTTTTGTTTTCTTCAGAGTATTTTTATCACTGACTATTTCCCTCGTCTTAATTTCCACCAATCACAACCGCGCAATTTTAATTAGGGCATCTAACTTTTCCTGTGAAAAAAATCGTTAAAACCCAATGCAAGTAATATTTTTTAACAAAATGCATGCGTGCAGGTGCAAAAATCATCGTCTTCGACTTGGATTTTTGTTGCCACCAGCACTCATGCTTCTTGTTAAAATATTACTTAGCAACGTGTTTCTTTGATTTTTTTCGGAAAAATAGATGCCCTTATACATATATGTTATTACTTGTTTGTTTGGTAATTTAATAAATATTTTTTATACTTAATTTAAGCTGTTTTTTTACATTTTCAATTACATATTGCCAGTTTGTCGCAAAATATATATTTTTTAAATTTTACTGCTTAAAATTCAAATATTTAATGTATTATATTTAAATATAAAAGGGGCGCACCAACGAATGCTGCACGCAGGCGCCAGACACCCCAGGAACGGGCCTGGTTAACTTGATAGGTACTTGTTATCCGTAATATCAGATATCTGTCATGCGTCCACTTATCTGTCAAAGGCTGGATATTAATATTATTATAATAGCTATAGCTCTTGTTAAATAAAAATATACCCATACATAGAACAATACTTGGTGCACCCTGTATATAAAATAAAATAAAAAGAATAATTATTTTAAACATGAGATAAAAAATTTGGGTTAATTTAAATTTTATATAAATGTAGGTAGGTACTTACCTACAGTTAGAATTTCTTAGTTTTAATGTTTACAATTTTTTGTGAAATTTTGAACTATTACGTATAAATTATTTTCTACAAATATTTATATTATTATAAAATTTATAATTTTTTTTATACAATGTTTTGTTTAGGTAAAAATAATAATGTGTGCAAATTTTTTTCTATAAAATATTATTGTAAAATTTGACACAATAAAATTTAATTTAATGTTAGGTAATTTAATGTAAAAGAA